TTTTAATTAGTGATAGTTCTAGTTAGAAAATTATATGTAATAAATACGGCATTGATGAAGACTTGACAGCCATAGAGCACCAAAATAGCCAAAGGCCACCTGCCCTCCCTTGTGATGGAGCTTGGAAGTCCTTGTCAAACCCTAGTCTCCTTAGGAACTTGAGTGCAGCGGTAGCTGTGTCTGTTTTTGTCTCTAGAAAACATGACATTTGGACGATTCATCTTAATTAGCTCTCAACACTCTCTTTCGAAGGCGCCATGTTGAACCCCTCCTACTATTCCATGATACAATCTTCATCTAGAAGTTGAAAGAGGAGACACAATTGAATCCTGGGTTGTTGCCAGAGAAGGTACTTGGCTAACCTACAGTGGCTTAGAGTTAAGGACTAAGTTGTAAGAAATTGAAATATTTAGGACTAAACCGAAGGAATCAGGATTATGAAGATCAAAGTGTTAACTTGTTAAAAGATGAGAGAACCAAATAGTTTTAACAATGAAGAATCAAAATTTGCAGAAAAAGGCCAGAACCGACCCAGACTTTTAATTCAGAAATATAGTCACAATGGCGGCACGTCATACAGGGTGTCCACCCTTTCGACAATAATTCAGGGAACAATTTTGAAAATTGTAGGAATTTTTTTTATTTGTTTTTTTATTTTATTTTAGATTATATAATAAGAGATAATTTTTTTTATCTTTTAATCCACTTCACTTGTGTGTTTTGTGATTTAAAATCAAAATCTCTTATTTTTAATAAAAGAACCCATTAAATTATTTCAATTATTGATAAATATTGTAGGATTTAAATTAGATCTTTATCAAGAAGTCAACAATTGCGAGGAATTCTGCCAACTCTTTCCAAAATTTCTTCAACCAAAAATTTTCAAATCCTCTTAAATCTATGCCATTAAGGGAAAGAAATCAAAATATCACATGGGTCACGCAAATTTGACAAGGATTGAGAGGAAAGCATGCATGATTCTCAGTGGGACTGATTGTTAAGTTCTAACAAAATTTTTTTCTAAGTGGGATAGCACTAGTTATCAACCAAAAAAAAGACAAAAAACACCAAAGCAATAGTCAATAGACAGTTCCTTTGAAATTTGTTCTTTTTTTCTTTCACTAAAGCGTGTTGAATTCAACCATTCTAAAACAAGTAAAACACTGAGCATGTGGAATTCAACCATTCTAAAACAAGTAAAACACTGAGCATGTGGAATACCAGCTAGTTGAATTCAACCATTCTAAAACAAGTAAAACACTGAGCATGTGGAATACCAGCTAGTTGAATTCAACCATTCTAAAACAAGTAAAACACTGATCATGTGGAACACGCTCAAATTAAAGATGATAGACTCGTTGACTTATCGAAAATTAAGTGCTGATACATTACTAGTTTTAACTGCAACCAAACAAATTAAAGGTCGTGTAAGGGGACATTAAATTCAACCTTACTAAAACAAACAAAACATTGAGCATGTGGAATAAGCTCAAATTAAAGATAATTGACTTGTTGACTTAATTATCAGCCGGTCGAGTCTATCTTGACAACACAACTGTTAATTACCAGCTGGTCTGATCTCTCTTGAAAACACAAGGGTTAATTAATCAACTATGCAAACCTTATTTCCCAGAAGCATCCTATTAGAGTTATATTGAAAACATGCATCAGACGATGGAAGACTAATTTTTGATCATAAGCAGGACCAAGTTCTTTAAATCAGAAATAAATTAAAAAATAATAATTTGTGTGATCTCTATCTAATTTATCTTTATTTTTATAATTTACTTAATGAATAACTTTTCTACCCACTAAACATGTTAACTAGAATAAGAGCATCAAATTTGTAATTTAGATTTCAGTTTTATTTCTGTTGCAGTTCGTTCTTCATCTTTACAAACTAGACTGAATGGTGCAATCAAACATGCATGAGTATGAAGGGAAACACGAAGGTACAACAGGCCCTACCTTGGGCTGACCCTTGGTTCTAGAACCCAAAATTCAAGTTC